GGTGGCGTGTGTGAGAGATGAGCACAGCTGCGACAGTTTCACATGATCGCTCCTGCGTGTTGCTCCACTTGTCTGATTGCTGCTCAACTCTAATTGTAAATGATAATGTGGGCGAGTTAATCCCTTCTTGTCTGAGAAGGACTTTGGTGCTAGCTAGCTTTGAAAACCGCTCACACAGCGTAGTGAAACATTTTAGCTGCCGTTGAAAATTTGTCTGGCGAGTATTGCGTCATCTGATCGGCTTTTCTTATCGGCCTTTTTAGCGACCACCGATCAAACTAGTTAAAGCCATTATCGGCCGATTACGATCGGTGACCGATCGATCGGAGCACCCTTAAATGGGAACACTGTTTTCTGTCTCAGCATATCTCAAAATGCTAAATTACAAGATAAATCTACAAGATGGTCAGCCATCAGACAGACAGGGACATCAGAAATCCTTCTGTAACATCTGCATAAATGTTGCTCCAGAATTAGAGCCATCAGAAAAATGACCAAAAGGTGGAGAAAAGAAGGACAAGCTTTGACCTTTCCAGCCACACTGATTCTTTGTGGACACACTTTTCACACCAGTAGCTAGCTGTGAGGTCACCAATGTATGCCAGACAGACTGCGGCTGCCCAGTGTGAGGTGATCAGTATGGTTGAGATGTTTGTGTGCGTCTGACGGCCAACTAGGACAATACACTCTCTGTCTGGTCCACACATTGGGCTCTCTCATTGGTGAGCTCAACTGCAAGTGGTGAGGCGGAGAGAGAGAGAGAGGTGAGGAGGAGGGGAGAGAGGGAACAGAGGAGGTGAGGAGAGAGGCCGGCTGGTGGAAAAACAGAGTGAACTGACCGCAGTGTATACATATACATATGTAACGGCTGTGCTGGAGATCAGTGAGGCACTTATGCGAGCACACATGGACGTGAACTTTTACACACCAAACCTATATTTTCAGCTATTCACCTTACAAAGTCATTTCACACGCTCACACACCCCAAAACACACACAAGTTATATTCTGTTTGCCCAAGGTAATGGTTTGACCTTCAGACGTAAATGATGCTTGCATTTGCTGAAACCTTGTGTTTAAAGTTCTGAAATTCTTATTTTATAACAACTGAGATTATGTATCATGTATACAATAACTAAACACACCATCGCTAATGTGTCATAAAATATTAGAAACAGTCACTAGCCAGTGGGTCTGTCAGCAAGTCATTCTCAGTTTCTGTTTGTTTTTGTGCTTCAGTCATGATGTGTGAGACACAGACTTGGGCTCAAGGAATCTCAATCACTCATAAAAAGCACTGGTGCCTCAGACCAGAGGAATTACAGGGTGTGACATAGTCAGTGAGTGCATGAAGCATCTCGCCTACTGTTCAGCTAAAACAGGAACGGCTAAGCAGGAAGATTGAAGATTGATAACAGGGAAACTCAATCAATGCTCACTGCCATCTAACTCCTGCAATGCTACAGATGTAGAAGTAAAGGTAAGAGTTATTGAACAGCTCTGTGAGTCCTGCCATTCAGCCAACTCTGCAGTCTGCACAGCAAGCCCATGCTCTCTCAATCGTATCAGCAATTTTAGTGGCTATTACTGCTCCTACACACTTAAATAAATAACTCGAGGAGGAGTATAAATCTGTGCGCGCGGGAGAGAGAGGGGGAACATGATGCCAAGTTGGTTTGATGTCTACTCACACTGCTGAAACTCCATATTTATAGCAAATGGCGCAGCTACAAGGCATTCACGCAACACAGACATGTACATACATGTCAGGGGCGTAAAGCCAATCAATGTCTCATCAGGGATGATCCATTCTCGCACCCAGGACTGATAGAGGGATGGAGAGAGGGAAGAGAAGAGGGAGGGCGAATAGAGTAGAAGAAAAAGAGTAGAAAAAGTCAGGGAGCATGGGAGAGAGACAAAGAGACAGAGGACACAGCAGGCGCTGAGACGGTACCATAGACTCCTGAGGAGAGGAGAGATACAAGAGGATAGAAGGACATACGAGAGGAGAGAAGGAGATGTTTTTTTGCAGTATTCTACACCAGGCTTAGCTTGTTTCTGGTTTTGGAAAGAAGTAAAGTAGGAGCAATACAAATACAACTCATTCATAACATCCATCATCCATCCATCCATCGTCAGCCGCTTATCCTGCGTACAGGGTTGCGGGGTCATTCATAACATTGGTTTCTAATTTAATCTTGTGTGAGGAGAACAAGGCTGCAGTCACAAACGTCACGTTCTAGCTAGGCCTCAAACGTTAGGCCTGCAAAACTAACGTTTGATATCATGAAGACAGCAAAGTTAACCATGGCGTGCTGTCAATAAGAAAACAACTTGTATCTAAAGTTTTTGTTTTCAGGCACAGAGCAGTTATATTCCTGAGACACTGCCTGATTAAATGAAGTACAATAAAAAATTTCAAATTGCATTATGGTAAACAGTAGGCGAGGTACACTTGTCTGATGCATACTGGAGATACAGTTTGTAACACAAGGAAAAGTGACATCTTCACAGTAAGAACAAAGCCTGACAAGAGTCAAAACACCCGACAAAAGAGAACCTGGGTTAGAAACAATTAAAAATATCCCGCGCTGTTGGCAGATTTTCTCACTTTGAAAAAAAAATGTTTCTCAGCAAAAGATTAAAGAACCTGTCCACAAAGTAGGACAGAAACGTGGAAAGGGAGGCAAAAATATTTCACAAATGGAAAAATACAGGTATTGAAGGCAGAGTACTGAAAGGAGAAATGAGAAGAAGAGAGTGTATGTGGTGCAGGAACAGCAGAGGACAGAGGACTGTAAGCAGCAACCCTAACCCTAACCCCTGCATCGCTCCCCATCATCTAGGGCCCCGACACTCTACTCCCCCAAGGGAGGAGGAGAAAAAAAGAGGGGAAAAAAAAGAATTAGATGACAAAGAAAGAGGTCATGAGGGACAACATGGCAGACAAAGCTTTGTTGATGGTGTGAAACTGAATAAACGGAAGCAGCGTTTGCAGGTTCAGTAGAGCCACCACAAACAGGCAGACAGGGCAGGGCTGGTGGCTCTAGCGAGCGAACTGCGTGACAGGATGCAGTGCGGCGTGTGTTCGGCTTCACTGGCTGTGGTTCAGATCACAGTGAGCCTGACGAACAGGCGGAGGCTGGACCGGGAAAACCTGCCGTTCACTACACGCACACGCACAGTAAGGTGTACATGTACAGTCTGTAAAAAACAGCAAGGCTACGCACAGACCCTTGGCATAAATGCAGACATAAATGAACAACACTCACACATGCTTTAGATAAACACACGTGTTTATGCATGCACAAAACACACTCCACTCGCGCGTAATCAGTATGCTGAGCCAGAGCCACTGCGCAGCTTGATAACAGCTTCTTTCACTGCTGCTGCTGGCTTCTTTTTTCTCCTCCTCTGAAGTGGCTAGGAAAAAAGGAGGTTTCTGATGGGAGTATAATCTGCTCAATCTGCTTTGAAAAGCTGCCTGAGCGGTTCAGCCACTCTGATGGGGAGCACATTATATTTTAATGAGAAGACAAACATCAACATGTGCTACAGTTTCTGGGCATCCGAAATATACGTCTCATTAATCAGCATCATGTTTCAGCCGTGCTGTCTTTGTGAGATAGGTCAAGAAGCGATGCTGGCGCAATGTTTGTGTGTGGGCATGAATGCAGATATTTTAACCAGCCACAGTCCAAGCAACTGCAAAACTGACTCCACTGGCCAGGATTGGAGCAGACAAGATGATCTGTATCATTTATGCAACATGGTTCCGCAGACGGCCTTGCAGAATCACGAGTTTCTTTGTTTAGAAAGGTCCCCGGTGGGAAGTGAACCCTTAATCCTGTTTGAATCCTCCTACTCCTCTTGAGCTACCCAGGACCAAGAACGATTACACTTCCATCACTGGCAGCGGCACTTCTCATGTTCTACCCCTGGGTCATTTTCATGCTGACTTTTTAAGTTATTTAATCTCAAGTCTTAAATCTCTCTCAGATCAACTCCCATCCTGCAGCACAGAAAACACTCAGCTGGATTACAATTTCACATATATCCATAAATCATTTTTAAGCACCGGGGAGGAACTTTTGTTTTAGGGCCAAAGTTTAAGAGTCATAGTTCCAACTAAACGTAATTATTTTATTGTCTCCAATACTAGCTACCTTTTGTGTGAATATAATAAAACTATGATTATTTATGATGAAGTTATGCAGTCTCTCAGGGAGGTTCAAGGAAAAATGTTGTTCCAAGGGACAAGATAAAAAAATAAAAAGCCTCCTTCAGTATTTCAGTGTGTCAGATACATATTTAATCACCATTTACAAGCAAAACATTTTATGATATCGGACTCGGTATCAGCAGATACCCTAAATTAAAGGACTCGGTTTGGAAATTGGGCAGAGGCCAAAAAAACCTTGATTGGGACATCCCTAATTATTACAAAAAATCTAAGATCAGACTGACAATTGCAACAGATCCCTGTTTTAGATGCTTAGCTTACGCTCATGGACAAGCAAGACAGATGTTAGATGTATGCTTTATTATTCCTATTCTCAAACAGCATGTTTCACTTTTAACATTACAAGCAAAACAGCTTTTGGGATGAAGACTAACCAGTCTGTTCAAGCAAACAAAATACCATCTCAATGCCAGTTCGGCTGGAGCTGGGCTTAATCCCATCCAAGGACAAGCAGGGTGGAGACGCTAACGTTAGCCTACACTCAGTACAAATGCTAGCCATGAACAGGGCCTTTTTAACCAGTAACCACACAAAATAATGTAGTATGAAATGCCCCTGGCCTTGGAAGTTACACTGGGTTAAAAAAAAAGAGGCAGAGCGGGAGAAATAAAAATGTGAAAAGGGCTGAGAAGACAGGAGAATGACAGATGGATGGAGACGAGGGAAGGCAGAGCAGTGGGAACAGAGCACAAATGGTCAGAAATAAGGAGACAGAAACAAAAAAGGGAGTGGCACAGCAGCCAGATCCAGATACATACCATTCGATAAGGCCTGCTGAAGCTCTGAGTCTGATATCACTCCACTGCGGTCCTTGTCGACCCTGGGGAGGAAAACACTGATTAGATACCTGCATTAACCACTTCACACACCCACACAATAGGAGCGGGCATCAGCACTCGCAAGTTGAAACTTTATCCTCCTGAGCGCATGTCAGTATTTCAACGGTCCACTGAGAATGAATGGAGTCCTGTGATCAGGACACACAAGGCAGCTTGTACGCTTGTGGCTCCCCTGAGACTGTGTGTGTGAACGTGTGTGTGTTTTCATCCTGAGACAGCGAAGTGAAACTGATTGTCTCCGCACAAGTATCTTGTAGTGACACCAGCATACTGTCAGCTTACAAGACTTGCAGGCAGAGCAACATATTTTTAAGGCTGCAAATGAAACCAAAACTAAAAGCAGCTTAGGGCTTTAGAGAAGTGTTCTCAAGGCAACCCATAACGTTACATAAAAGAGCTTAAAGGGGTGTCTGGTGGCCGATTTGAAACAATAATTTTATTTATCAAAACTAATCTACAACAATTTTGCTGAAACAAACAATCATTCTCTGGTTCCAGCCTTACAAACTCTGTTTTCTGCCGTCCCTCTCTGGTAACATTTACCAGAAAAGAGCTCTTAAATATTTCAACTGCTCACACTATTTCACCGCTCTTTATCAAACCTGGAACTTTCTCTGAGTTATTAGTTGGAGGAGCAGCAGCTCTGTATGGGATATACCGGAGGCGCCGAAGGGGAAAACGTGCAGGCGTACTGGGTAAAGTGAGACAGCGGGGTTTTCGCACTGCACTTCCTTCTGTCCACTCTGTTTCTATATAAACGAAGATTGGTGCACAGACGTCCCAGTGTTCATGCAGCCCTCACTTAGAGTCATTATTCATTAACTGTAAACCTTTTTACTCACCACGGGAGTTTTCCTCGTTTGTTCTGGTCACTGTTTACATTCCACCTCAGGCCTGTGTTAGCGGGGCGTTACTACACCTGGCCGACCAGATAACTAACGTGGAGAAAAAAATCCAGACTCCCTGCTCATTATTCTTGGGGACTTCAACAGAGCAAACTTCAGCCGTGAACTTCCAAAGTACAGACCGCATATTAAGTGTCCCACCAGGGTCACTAACATGCTGGACCACTGCTACACAACATTAAAGGACGCCTATCGCTCTGTTCACCGTGCAGCTTGGGACTCTCTGATCACTGTCTGGTTCATCTTATCCTGACATACAGGCAGCGACTGAAATCTGCTAAACCTGTTGCAAAGAGTGTGAAAATATGGACCAACAGGTCAAAGCTGGATTTACAGGCCTGCTTTGACTGCACTGACTGAAGTGTTTTTGAGGCTTCAGCCACCGACCAGGTCGAACTAACTGACACTGTGACATCTTACATCAGCTTTTGTGAGGACATGCGTGTGCAGACTAAAACCTTCCACACATACAACAACCAAAAACCCTGGTTCACAGCGAAACTCAGACAGCTTCGTCACACTAAAGAGGAGGTCTTCAGAAGTGGGAACAGAGTCCTGTATAACCAGGCCAGGAAAACACTGACTAAAGAGATCAAAGCAGCTAAAGCCTAGTTCACACTACACAATTTTAAGCCCAATTTTCATTTTGTCAGCGAGCTCGGTGACCGTCGGCCTGTGATCAGTGATCGGTCGGCAGTCGCCAGTCTTATGTGCGAACTACCCAAGGACGCGTCAAAACGGCTCCCCCGCACATTTCTGACACATCGCCGACGTCTGCCAGATATCTAGCATGCCAAATATCTGGAAGAGTCGGCTGACTTGACATCCACATCCAGCCAATGAGAGCAGGCAGCTACTTTTCACCGTTAAACACTTGTTACTCACCTCCAGCTCTCTGTAGCTCAGACAATCCCTGCTACCTGCGTGTGCTAATCCATTCTTTCACTCATAGGTTTTGTCTTTCTAATTCCTATCTTTATAATAACAAACCGCTGTTTCGTGTGTAGGTGTGTGCCATTTCCCGTTTCACATTTCACGTGTGTTTTCTTGGCAAAACGTGGTTTGGAGACCAGCGTCGGGTGAGAGAGTCGCTGTCAGCTCACGTAGTGTGAGACACCCTGTCACTGATCAGCCACATAGTGTGAACACCACAACGACTTCAGACTTCTGTCACAAGACAGCAAATTGTGTAGTGGGAACAGCACAGCCATCGGCCGACGCTGAAAATCATGTATCACGAGCCTTAAGAGGAGCTATGCTGAAAAGCTAGAAAACAGCTTTGGTCGGCAGCGTTTCTAAACTTTTTGGGTCTTCGTTTTCACCGTTTTAGTCTGGACAGGAGGTGCAAACGTAGCAAAAGGTCTCCGTTTTAATTCGAAAACGCAGTAGTGTGGACGAGGCCTAAATGACTGCAGGCCTGTTGCCCTGACATCTCATGAAGTGCTTTGAAAGACTGGTGTTGGCCCACCTGAAGGACATTACAGGCCCCTTGCTGGACCCCCTGCAGTTTGCCTACAGGGCAAACAGGTCAGTGGATGATGCAGTCAACTTGGGACACTCTCCAGGGAGGGGCAAGGATCCTGTTTGTGGACTTCATCCTCAACACCAAACTCACCCAGCTTATTGTGTCAGCCTCCACCTGTCAGTGGATCACAAACTTCCTGACTGACAGGAGTCAGCAGGTGAGGCAGGGAAATATCACATCCAGACTATTAGCACTGGCTAATATTTAAGCTCGGCATTCAATACCATCACCCCCCCCCCCCTCCCCGGACACAACCTGTTCCAGCTTCTCCCCTCTGGTAGGCACTACAGAGCACTGTACGCCAAAACCAACAAACTCAGGAACAGTTTCTTCCCACAAGCCATCACTCAGATGAACAGCTGACTTCTGACTCACAGTGTCAGGAACAATTCCTGTGCAATAACACAGTAACTCTGTCTCTAATCAGCCACCTGTTTACTGGCTAACACTTTTTATTTATTCATCATTCTCTATTTCAGAGCTGTTCATACTGTTATATTGTATATACTGTACACCAAATCCACCTACCTCATGTACCTGCACATAATACATATTTATTTCAGCATCCTTTGCACTATGCTCATTGCACTATTGTCTCAATATGTCAATATTGTTTTTGTTTATAGTGTGTATATATATATATATATATATATATATATATATATATATATATATATATATATATATATATATATATATATATATATATATATATATATATATATATGTGTGTGTGTGTGTGTGTGTGTTCTCTATACTGTAGCCTATGTCTGATTTTATTATTCTATTATTGTATAAGTAAGCATATTGTTAGCAATGTACAATCCAGAGTCAAATTCCTCATATGTGTACGCATACCTAGCAATAAAAGCTGATGCTGATTCTGAATAAGTGCCAAATTAACATGTATGAATAAGTGTGATCTGATGTTTTTATCACTTTTAATAACCTCTAGAAGTCATGTGTTTCTTCTTGTGCTTGGTCTGAGTTAAAGTAGAGTTTAGAAATACTTTCTGGACATGTCGTCATCACCTGACCATCATCCAGCAGTTATAGGTCAAATATCCCAGCAGTTTGGAAAGAGCAAGCACGAGGGAAACCCCCTCAGATAAAAAGACATTGTTTGGTTGTTCCTAAATATAAGGCAGCTGACAATGTAACTCTATACACTTACAAAACTCCAGAGTTTGCCTCTGCGATGCTGAGACATAAAAACATTAACAGGCTGGACTGTGACACAAATAACGGGCCTCACAGTTTGAAATGCAGCTTAGTCAGACCGCCAGTGACTCAGTCGTTACTTAGTAACCTGCTTGGGCCAATCGCAGAGAGGAAAAGGGAGGGGAAACAGGGTACTCAACCACAGGACCCCCAGCCCAGAGCTGACTTTGTTGGCTGGGCTTCCGCTGCCAGCTGTGACGATTTATGTGCGGTTGCATCTCCATGTCTGCAGCCTTCGTGGCTTTCTACACTGCGATCAGCTATATGTCTGTGCATTCTCCTCAATGTACCTTCCCCCCACCTAAATAAAGAAAAACAAACCTAAGGAGACCTGTGTCGTACCCTTGGGCGAGAAAAACACCTCACAGCATGCCTCCATAAATGAGAGCTTTGTCACGGTGAAGGTGAGGAGTGGTTGGGTCGGTGCAGGCAGTTGGGGCACCCAGCCTTTACCAAACACTGATAGATGAACTCAAAGAAGCATGTGTGTACATTTTGTGCTCTCTGCTTTTCTCACACCTCACGCCACCGTCTTCCTCTCAGCCTCAGGTAAAGTTACCTCGACAGAGTATTAAGCGGGCTGAAAAAGTGAAAACTCCCTCTTGCCCACAACACAGACAGTTTAGCATCTGGCGTTTCCATCTCCACCCGGTTAAATACTGAGCTTGTATGTGAAACAGCAGGACAGAATTAAACACTATGGCTGAGTCTGTTAGTCTGCTCAGATTTTCCCATGTATCACTGTTTCCTATTAAGCAATCAGGTTGTAATATGGCCTGAGGAACAAAGGCCGCCCTACTTTCCACATAAACGGTCCAAAAAGTAAGGCGATGTCACTGTGGCTCCCATAGCGGAGAAGAGAAACATCCAAATTCAAGCTGCATTCGCAAAACCTTGTATTCAACAGTCAGTTTCCATTGCTACTTTTTTGTACTTTTAAGTTTTTTTAATCCACGGGTCTGTTTCTAATAAGAGTCCACATGTTTCAGGTACCACGTCAGTATTTCATGTATGTAAAAACCTCCCTCACTCCTGTTCACTGATTCTAGATGAACAAAATCTCCTCCCTACAAGTTCTTATTTGTTTCTAACAAGTTTGAATATGTTGTCATTCCATAAAAGTCCAGCATTCACCCCATGTGGTGAACATGTTCATAGCAACAAATCTCTTTTGAAGGGTTGGGTGCAAGCATTTTTGTCATACCAACAACATTCTTCAGCAAGCAGACAAAACAGGGGATAATGACTTCTTCATGATTCATTCAGTGCCAAGAAGCTGAACACATCTAAGAAACAGACTAAATTTAGTGGCCGACTAGAGCACGACTGCAGCCTGCCTTCACCGTTCGCTGTGCAAAACACCTTGAGAAGGAACGACTCAGTGTCTCCTCCTGTCATGACTAAACAGGATAAAGACAGTTTACATGTGACTTAAGATGAATGGATTACCAAAGACAAGAGCAACAGTGGGACGGGTGAGTCACAGATTGAGACGCCTCCCGCGTCAACTGTGCTCTATTGACTCCGATCACATGACTGAGGGAACTCCAGCACGGCTCTGCCAGATATTCAGCCAAGAGGCAGCAGATGAGGCAGCATGATGCTCGAGTGAGGGATGACTCCGTATGTGTTCACGTGTGTCATGATAGCGAAGAGAAGAAGTGCTGTCTGCGTGACTGTGAATGAAAGGTTGTGTATGTGGGAGAAAGATAGAGAGACAAAGAAAAGGGCAAAACGTGTACATCCAACTGGATTTCTAAGGGGGGGTTTGCGCCATACATAAATAATTCGTTAAGGGTGTTTCAAGCCTTGTGCAGCATCTCAATGTTGTGAGAAAAAATGATCTGCAGTATTACATAACTCTATCGAATACTACTACCAGGGGCCAAAGCATGTGAACTATTTCCCTCAGCGCCTGCTCTTGTGACCTTCTTGGCTGCTGACACTCTTTTGACTACGGTAAAACTGATGACTATCAGTAGCTGAAAGCTGCCACGGACACTGTAACATCAGCTCAGTGTGTGCTTATAATGCTGGACAGAGCTTTCCAATGTGTTCATGTGTTCATGTCAGCTTCCCACAAACACACTGCGTCATTCAGACTCACAACTCTCTGATTTTTTTAGGAAACCCCCTCTCAGAGGATTTTTTTACTACTGACTTGGTGCAGACACAGGCAGGCGACAGATTAATTCATGAAATATTCTCTCATATCTTGATTTATAAGTGAAAAATCTTAACTTGAACTGCTTCTGCTGGGAGAACCCAGAACAAAAAGCCTTCAAGGACTCCTGGAGGTCCTTTGACCCCAGTTTGTAAACTCTCATTGCTGTAGAAGACAGTTCACTGACTGAGTCAGCTGGTTTCTTCATTTCAAGACAACATAACGCCAATTATAAAGCGTTGTGACACTGATAGTTTAATTAATCTAATGTATAGTAATGTAACCAGCGGAGTGACGTGCAATAGCTACTGGCTAACTGTTATGTGTTGTTCACTGTGCACTAGTCTTTCCAGGAAGCGCCACAACTGAGAGGTAACCTTAGTACTGAGAGACAAATCACTCATTTCACTGCGGAGCGCTGCTCCCAGCCAACAATAGTTATACAGACACAAGAGTAAACACAAAAATCGAGCTGTCTCCGCCACCCAGACCCACTCTCTTCCTCTCCGCGCCCTGAACGACAGCAGTTTCCACTGCGGAGCGAAGTGAGAGACAAGCAGACAGCAGCGGCACAAGCCGCGGTTCCCCACTCACCTCTGAAAGATATTCCACAGAAAGCCCTGGTCCGGGGGGGCGTTGATGTGTGGGGGAGCTTTGTACGGACTGTGGTACGCCATTTTAAAGGGAATGCTCTGTCAAAATGTGTCTAAGTAAGGCCGACAGACTGCTCCCCCTCCTGCCGTAGTTTCTTCTCTGAGCGGCTTCAATGAGACTCCACCACCCGACGTTCACGCCCGCCCTCTCGCGCACAGAGGCGGGGCCAATTATTCACCACTACCCATAAGGATGGTGACGTCACACTTCCCTCTCCTTTGAAAATACTAAATATTTAGGGATACAAGCACCTATTGTTTATGTTCTCTTTCTTCTTATTTCTTTCTAGAAGTGTTTGGGGTCTGAAACACTCCTTAATATGAGTTTAGTCAGAATATAATTCAAACTGGGTGTAAAAGGACTGAACAGCAATGCAAGTGTGTAACACACACACAGCATCTCCCACAGGATATCTCACAAAGCAAAGTCCATGACCAAAATAAAACATAAAAAACATATTGTTTCTGTCTGAGCTGATAGTTGAGACACGCCCTGCAGTATTTTCAGCACCTATCCCCTGGTGTCCAATTGTCTTTAACCCAGCGCACCAGTTCTCCCTTATTTAATGTCAATGCAGAATCCCTTTCAACAACTTGTTGAGAAAATACCTGAAGAGCTTTTCTCCTGGAGATTTTAAGATGTGGGCGGAAGCACAGTGGAGATGTGGAGACACAGTTTTCTCAATGGAGAAAAGGCAAAAACTATAAACCCTTTCTGCAAAATGTTTTCTTTAGGGTGCATGGCATACTGGTCTATTGAGACTAAGGCCTGGTATCCTTGCCTACTCTGTAATTATAACTATTAGCCCAAATGATCACTTGGTGACTGCTCAGACAAGGAATTTGGAAGTTATTAGTGTCAAGTCATTCAAAACAATTTTACTATATAGCACAAAATCATTGTCTAAGAGGGCTTTACAACCTGCACAACATACGAGAGACCCTCTGCCCTTACACACTTAATTCACGTAAGGGAAAAAAAAAACTTTTACAGGAAACAAATGGGAGAGGACACCAGAAATAACAACAGAGGGGAGATACAATAACATATACATACAGTTATTAGTACTAGCAGAACAGAGCTCCAGGTAAAAATGTGAGTGTAATCAACTTTATTTATATAGCACCTTTCAATACAGAGTTACTGTGTACTTTACAATAAGAAACAAAACACATTTCAAACACAGAGAATTAAACTAAACTAAAAGCCATTAAAACAAAACACAATGAAATAAATTAATGAAATAAATAATATAACCAATTTTTAAAAAGTGATAAATGTCAAGATCGAGTTTCTCCTCAGACATATCATTCTGAATTCTGGGAGAACACACAAAACAGTTGAAACAACACAACAACTCAACAACAATAAAGGTTTCCAAAGGTAGGATTAAGTTAGGACTACAGTGTCAAATGATTACAATGGAGGGGGTTTCTATTCTTTTGGCCACTGCAGTTGTCATCATCAGGTGGATGATTTAAGCATACATGAGTATTCAAATAACGTCAGAGCCATTTTCGCAGTGTGTCCTTCAACCAATAGGCTACTTCGTCCACACCTGGTTCAGGTCTTCACTGCACACACATGCACAGAAGAAGAGAGGAAAATTCAGCTTTGATAAAAAGTATTTTTTGTCACAGGTCCCTTTGTAAGTATTTTATTGTAGATCATTAATTTTTGTGACTGTGGTGTATATATTTGGTTGTGTTTAGGTGTAATTTTGGTATGAATAACTGTAAATAAGCCCCATTAAAAGAAACAAAACATCTGGACCTCACTCATTTCTAAACCCTGTAAGGCTGGTTTGCAGTGTAACATTATCAAATGAATGCTTTCCAAGTAAAACAGCAGCATTAAAGTTTTACTGAATAATTAGCAACACAGTCTAAGGTACAAGCTACTTAAAGTGTCAAAAGTAAAAGTAGGCAATAATGTCCCCAATAAATATTTATTATTATTATTATTTATAAAGTAGACTACGGTACTTGAGTAAATGTACTTCACATCACTGCTAATTATCTAAAGCAATTAGAGTAATTTATACTTCCATTCACTGACATAACTGTTTAAAAAAGAAAGAAGTAATACTGTACTTTCATTAATCACAGGTCTCCCTAAATTATTACCTGAAATCTTAATTTTCTAATTTTCCTAGTTTGCCTGAATGCATCATGACTGTTTACTTTCAGTGTGATGAATCTCATAACCTGATTGGTTCAGTGTGAGTTGACGCGGGAAAATCGTGTTGTAATCCGTTTCACTTCACTAAGCTCTTGCCATCAAAGAAATCCCTAAACCTTGAAGTTACCAGGTTCCGCTAAAATAACTGCTAAACATATAAACGTTAACAAATGTTTTACTACCCAAATGTCCTCCACCGCCATACAGGATGTTTTTCCACAATTTGGTGAGTTAAAAAAAAAGCTAACTCATTGTGCCTAACACAGCTAACAGCTAAATTAGCTAAGTTAACTACTCCTGCAAGAAGTCTTTAGCTGTAACGTTAGCTACATGACAGATTAGCCTGTCAACTGGGGTTTATTTCAAAATGTTCTGTGTTTTGTTATTCAGGTTAGCAGCCACCAGAGGTATCAGGGTCACTCGCAGAGAGCTTCTCAAAGTCAATGTCAAGCGAACATGGTAAGAATGTCCACAGGCAAATGACAGATGTTAATGTTAACCTTAGCTTAAAGATAACTGTCTGGTTTCCACACTAAGACTGATAAATGTGATTAAAGTAACGTTACAGTTAAATTAGGCCACATAAGAGTAGTGTTTTAACTTTTTTCTATATTTATTATTATTTGCAACAAGGGCACATCTCAATTTGTCAACTGTATTTTGTTAACTTAATTGGTAATATATTTTTTATTTGTAAGTGTGCTGGGATGAGTCTTTTAGCAGCTCTTGAGCAATCTTTAACATAGTCTTGTTTGATGTAAAGATAACTATTTGTCTCACCTGCCAGAGTTGATCAGGAAATGTAATCTCTCTTTGCATTACTAACCTCACCTTGTTATCTCCTCTTTGTACCTCATTTTAGATTAAATATAATGTACATTTTTATAATTCATTTTGTTAAACAATTACAGTATGGACATTTTGGACTATGTGACAGCTCAGGTTCCTCCACCCCAACCCAACCTGCCGAGGCCTCGGTTCTCTCTCTACCTGTCGTCCCAGCTGCAGTATGGCGTGGTCGTGGTCTACCACAGACAATGTGCCTTCCTGCTCGGTAAGCGGAAAAGAGAAAGTGGAACAACAAGAGTTGAAAGACGAGAAACATAACACTACAATGAATTTGTAACTCTCCTTCAGTCAGTTAGCAGGATGATTTTGAGTTTAAAAGGAACATTATTTTCTGCTGGGCCTTTCCAAAGTAAGTTCAGGTCAATTGTGAACATGCTGTTTGTTCAACTTAAGCAAAACACAGCAGACGAGATGCCTCCGTGAGCTGCAAAGTGTAGTAATCTCATAAATGGTGTTTTAGTGTAAAACCAAAAAAGTGCTATCGTCACACATTTGCCAATGCATGTTTCCCAAATCACCCTGCCAAGTTTGATTTAGAAGCCAATATAGAGGTGATGAATGCAATATCATCAAACACAGCTCAACAGTCTCTATCCATCTGTTCTTAAATGACACCCTGACACTGATATTGCATCTGACAGATTCACAATCATGCTGTTGACACGGCTGATGAAAACAGTGAAATACAATGCAGCGTGATAAGCAGGAAGAGAAGCCAATAAAGCAACTACTGTCTGTTGTCTACAGCAGCTCTTGAATTCAGCAAATTTAATGTTATCTTTCAGTAGAATAGAATAAAACCTCCCAAAGCTGTCACATTGAGAATGTTTACGTTGTATTTCATATGCATGGCACGGTAGAGGTTCTTCCTCTCGGTTTATGTGGCATTCACAAACTTGGATAATGCAATAAATTATCTGTAAACTTTGATAGAAAAATGCAGGAAGTAAATGCACCTTGCAGAATTTTCTACCATTTTTATTATTCCAGACTACGGTGTGGGTGTGAGTTTATGCATAACAAATTACTGTAAGACCTATGGTGAAAATACTATTTGATTACTAGGGTGTCTTGTGCCCTTCATCGCCTCTTCCTGTTGCATAGAGAGGGGGGTCAGATATTTTAGACCTCGACTTAAATGTGATAACACTAATTCTGTTTCTGCAGGAAATAACTGTGTTGTGTGCGTGAACATTTTAAACCCCTTTTCTGTTTTCCAGAGGAGGTTCAACAGACCATTGACCGCCTGCTGCGCTCTAAAAGATGCATATGTATTGACATTGCTGAGTCTGACAGGTCTACACACACACACACACACACACACAACAATTTGATCACGTGCAGGATGTTTTGTATCCTGGGGCGCCTATGAATTTTAGCTGAACTGCACAGAGGTTTATGTGTTCGGGGAAGTCTGACTGCAAAAGCATCTGGAGGAATATTTATGAGGGAGATTGTTTTGGGGAATAAACACTGTGAGAAGGAGAAGCTAGTGTTTTATTGACTGAGTGATGGACAAATTGAGCTACTTTCATGTGAATTGCTTCAGTAATATTTAATAAAACGTGTCATGGGACAGCTGTAATGTATGAGCTCTTGTTTCTGCTTTCCACATTCTGCACCTTAAAGATGCTGTACGTTAATCATATTCCAGTAATATTTTATCATTTTGGAATCCCAACAGCGCAGATAAAAGCATGCATAGTGTTGCATTAGCCAGTACAGCACTGAACATGTGTGTGATGTTTTAATACTTTGAGTATTACATTGGTATTTTTTTTCTCTCTTTATCTGGCAGGCTGGCCTTGGATATGCCTGACAGCCTGTACAGGATGGAGGAGGCTGAGGGAGCTCAGGACCCCTTCTTCGGTCTCATGGACTCACACCAACTGCCCAGCCCCTATAAAATACACCAGGTACATTTGTGATACATACACCATTACAGCCATACACTGTATGTGATGGTGTGGCTCTGAATTATGCCAGGCAGCTTACACATGGAGTGTAGCCTAATGTCTGTGTCTGTAGTGTAGCACAACAGAACTCCTGTGCACCGTCAGCATCCTCAAGTAACCTGCACTTTATATCAAATATTCTCTCTGTAAACATGAGCAGGCTCGACAGATATTGTGAACGTTTTGTCGGGAGCAGCAGTGGCCACTCTCGTGTTAAATACAACTGTAAATGTCTCAGACAAACTGCAATTTCCAGAGAAGATATTCCCACATCTGAATTAATTCAACAATGCCTCTTATGTAAGACCGTTTGTGACTTTGGCTTTCCAAACAGCAGTAATTTGATTAAAATTACATAATAGTAAGTAGGTTCTGACCACATTCAGCACCAATGAGTGTTTCTAACAGCAGTCCAAATATAGACACACACATAACATATATGTCACACCAGCAGTCACAGCGCATACTCAACCGTAGTGACAGTGGTCCGTCACAACCTGGTAAAATATGATGCAATGCGATGTTTCTTTTCAGGGTTTTACTACATGTTTTTTTGACACACACGTCATAAATTACCATCAGTTATTACAAGTGAGCCGTTGTTTCATGGCCTTACATACACAGTGTAGGCCGCTCCAGTTCTAACATAGCATATGTGCTGTATCCCTCCATACAACCCACTGGTATCCTCAGATAGAGTAAATCACAGTAGACAGCTCTTACTCACTCTGTGTGCTGGCGGACATGGCCAGATTTACAGTACACAGAGAGCAGAAGTGTGGGACTGCATAGCATAGAGACAATAATATTTTTTGGGGTACTATCATGGAATTTAAAAGATCCCTAAACTGGATTTTGGCTTTCAGCTGCTTACGCTGCTGTATGTTTTAATATTGTGCATCGGTTTTCATCCAGGCCATATCACATGTCACCCACCTACACACCCATACTGTTCACCACAGAGGCATATAGAGGCAAACATAATACTTCTGACTCAGTTTGGTCTTTAACAACCCTAACTTCACACTTAAACACATTTTGGACATGATAAACAGACTCAGTTCGACTCTGGTATCAACCAAGAAACAACTCTGTTTCTGTATTCTGTCTTGTTATATAATATTGGTAATGTGTATTTCTAGCCAACGTTGGTGAATGAAGAGGCAGGTTCACAGCACTCCCTGGTGCCCAGTCCCCACACCTCACTCGACAAAGACGGTGAGACTGATATTTTTAACATTTGAAAGACTAGCTGTGTCCCATTTCGGGGCGGCCGACACATTTCAAGACCAAGCGTCACAATTGGTTAATAAGTTTCAAACACTCCAAGAAACTTTAAAGTAAAAAAGCATGGTGCTTTTTTGTGTTTTATGATCCCAAAATCCATTTCCCTCTGCTGACTTGTCTCTGTGAGATGTGGAGCAGACACATGACAGTAAATCTCATTCCGACTAGCTCATTTAGTTTCAGACTACTAGCTACACCTTTATAGACCATGTCCTTTGAAAGAGGCCTCGCCTGAAATGGGAGACAAGGGTTTTTCTAGATGTTTCCAAATTGCTTTGTAACACTTGTGTAATTATGCTAAAGACAGATTATTCTGATTAATAGTAATAGTAGTTGTGGTAACATTTTGCATGTTTCCATTCAAAATAATTTATCGTCAGGGTTTTTACAAACGCGTCATTTTAATTGGCTTAAATTCCATAAGTGGATTTTCTTGTAAATTGAAACCTTTGGCACAGGAAGGTGCTATTTCCACTCCTGTAAGGAAATTGCGGAGAAATGTTGTTGTTGTCATCAACAAATTATTTTTATTTTATCTGCAAATATTGAAATAAAAATGCATCAGGTTAAGCCCAGGCCCAGATTTCATTGCCATGGCTGTTTTTACTCCCTGAAGCCGTCACTCAAGTGCCACAAACACGGCCGAATCTCAGCGTGTCTCACATCCTTCTTGTGCTACAAACATGCTCGGCTCCTAATTCTTCCTGCTGTGTTGAACCAGGTTTCAGGTCACCTCCAGCTGCCATCACGCTGACAGAGAAGTCGCAGTTGCTCATCACCCCTGCTGAGGTAAACTATCTGTCAGAGTCCAGGGACAAGAAACATCCCAGTCATCATTTTTTTGTACAGCAGGTGTCCTGGTGAATCACTGAGCTGGGATGCGAACCGTGTGCCCACAGCAGCTTTAGTTAAGGTCTCCGTCACAAGTTAGCTGCTCGCTTGTTGGTCGTCCTGTCACTCTGCAGCATGCGGTGTGGCGAGGAAGTAGCGTTAAAGCCAGTACAGATTCTATATTGTCCAGTCTGTTTGTGTATATTTTTAACTGAGTTTTGTGGGTGGTGTGTGGTGCTCAAAAAGAACAGATATTTATGGGGAACATAACATATTTTACAAATGTTATCAAAAATCCATACATTTTCCAAAAGTTGTGCAGATGGCAGTGACGTTTACAGTGCAGGGAAATGTGGACATAAAATACGGGATGCCTGACTGAATTCAACTATCAATGTCCACAGGGCTTAAAAGGAGGCAGAGCTTTATCATCTCAGTCATAAAATGCAGCTGTGTTTCACTGCAGTCCAGCTGTACCTCCACACACTGTTAGCCTCCTCATTCTGTCACTGAAAGACTGATATTGCTCCTCCTACAGCATTATCAGCTGATGAAGTGCATTTTGGCTTTATAAGATCTGACTTAATTACATCAGCCTGCACTCATGGTTTGTTTACAGTGACATGTGGCTGGGTGCCTGTTGTCCTCGGTCTGCCCCTTATGTTTGTTTTTGCCTTGCACACAACATTTCTTCATTTAACCTTCAGTTTTTGTTTTTGCTATATTTTACAGCTGTTTTTTATGACTTTACTTAACATTATTAAACACACCCACCCTCATTGCTTCTGTTTAATTTGGTCTCTCTAATTGTCACCCTCTGTCTGTATCAGTATTTCGAGGGAGATGACCTTCCTGAAGCCACGGCCAGAGAGATTGACTTGTTGATGGATCAACCTGATCAGTTTCGTGGAGGTGTGTGCTTCTGTCTTTAACATTTACCTTTGTGTATGATAATCTTTGCATGTGTATGTTTGTGTTTTAGTTGTTTAGTCCGATGACATACTGTGAGTTTTACTAAATGTAAGGATCCAGGAAGTGTCTCAGTCCCACGGTGTGTTCCTCTCTTGTAATGTGCCTGCACCAGTCACCCCCCGTCTAATTCTTTGGTCCACTGCAATAATTGAAGAAAAAAGCAATTCTGACTCTGCGGGCGTTTTTGCTGGCAGAAAAAAAGGTTTATTTTCAGGAGACTGTTTCATTTAAGGAGAGAATAGAGCAGGAACATCTGTCAATAAGTAGCATGTGGCTGCCTGCTGCTCTTAGCAAAGACAGCAGAAGGACAACATGTCCAGTGTTTCCCCTAGGATGGAGTTTTAGCAGCTGAGGTGAAGTGGGAAAAAAATTGTGCACATGCTGTATGTCTGAATAGAAAACCCCAATACAACATGTCTCAGCAGGAGTGCAGTTTTGGGCCGCACCTCTAAGTCTTATAACAGCAGGGAAACCCTGTTAATATGACCTCATAATCATTATAGATAGGAGTGTTCATGTTTGCCTTTTGTGTCTCAATTTACAGCTTTTGACATTTATCTGTAGAAATTAATATGAAAAATAGGCAACATGAGAGTCTCCTCCCTTAATTACCAAGCATTTCATTTGCACAATAAAATCCAAAGGAAACGTCTCCTCATTAGTTTAAAAGGGACTAGTTTGCATCCTAACTTGCTTTATTAACCTCAGCTCCTCCACTGTCACCACCATCCTTTCTTTTCCTAACAACCAGTCTGTAAGTAACTATTAGGATGTACAGTCTGTGTACAGGACAGAGCTGTAGGCTACACCAGTTTAGTCCAAGCTTGTAATGTTGTCAATACTTGACAAAGTAGGCAGTAATGAAATGCAGCAGCTAGAACTTCCTATAAATTGAGCTAATGTTAGGTTACATAGCAGCCAAAAGACGTATAGTTAGGCTACTGTCAGCTTTCCTGCTCAGCTGCGCAGTCTGAAGGGGAGGGGAGATGTTTGCTTGCACTAACCTGCTTCACTTTTCCAGCAGTTGGGGAAACAACAGACAAACTTTTCTTGGTCATGAGAAGCTGACACGCTGTAACCGAACAAACATATACATTCACCGTCACTTTCTGCCGCTCGGACAATCAAACACACGCTATGCACCTCCCGAGTCCTTACAGGAGTTACGCTGCTCCTACAACAGCACCTTTCACGTAGATGTTCTGAGGAGAGAGGAGAGTTACCAAGTGCTGAGTGTTGTCGCACAGTGTGCGAGTGAAAACATTAGTAGCGTATAGTTTAATGATCGTGGGAAATCTTAGTAGCGGCGGTAATATAATTAATAATTCAGTAGCATGTGTTTAGTTGGGTAGAATTCACTCTCAGTTTACCTGCTGCAGTAAATCATCAGAAAGAGAGCAGAACAAGTATTTGAAACTACAAGGAAAACCACTTGTCTTAATAATGCAAGTCATTTGATCGCTAATAATCTTTTTACAGATTAGATTATTTTGGGAAAATGTGTTCACTTGAACATCTGTATGTGTCCATGTGTTGTGCCACATTGTTTCACGGTGTGTTGTGTTAAACAGAAGTGGCTGAGGCCGAGCAGAGGAGCCGGGGACTTGAAGGAGCCATGACCTCTATTGATCAGTGAGTCTTCACACTGAGAAATTAAGTCAGTCCTCTTCAGTAACGTCACAGCTCAGAGAGCACCTCAGTGTAAACGTACGGCGTGTGTGTACAGTAAGCATGCGTGTGTTCTTGTTGTCTCCAGGTTGAAGGTGACGGAGCTGGGCGCAGAGCGAGACAGTGTGATGCTACCAGGTGAAGAGTCGGGTCAGTCTGTGGGGGTTCCTCTGGCAGCTGTTCCCCTGGAGATGACCCCGCCGCAGGTTACCATGCCAACCTCACCTTCTGGTGCATCTGGGAAAGAGGGAGACAGAGCAACAGAAAGTCCCAATGAAGAGGTGAGACACAGGGGATCCTGTGTGTTCTCTAGTTTGTTCAGTGGTAGTTTTGTGTTGTGCAGAGCTTAAACTGAATTAGTGAATGATTTACTGTCTGAGTGTGAACACATACTTATTTCCACTAAATGCTGTTCTCGCAACAAGTAATTAAGAGCATAAGTGCTACTAAGAATGTTTTAGAGATACCCTGTCATTACCAGAGCCTTGCATTTGATCTAACTTTAGTTCATTCATTAAATAGAAATGGAAAATACAAACGATTAAAAAGTTTATTGTATCTACGCACCCATTATGAACCTAAAAATTTGAAAACTTACAATTCCCAGTACCTTTTTATTTACCTGCTGTACAAACTTTGACATGCAAGAAACGTGGAGATGACAGCGACAGAGCATTTGCTGTTGTAACAGTTTTCATCAGCTTTCTTTTGCATTCCACAAAGCGACTCATGAGCAGCTTGTTTCATTTTGGAAACAAGTCATTGAAAGCAGATGCGGGTGTGTCAGCGCAGATTCATAATTTCCAGTGTATGTGCTGGTGTGTGACGTCATTTTATAGATTCAGTACTGTGAAAATTACAGCTGTGCTGCTCACTCTGCCATCAGGTGGTCGTTCCTCCATTCAGGAAGCCTGGTGGAGGTCGCAGGCGTCAGCTGGTCTTTGCAGACCCTCAGGTCCAGATATCAGACAGAGCAATGCAGGAACAGATCAGAAACCCGCTGGCCGAGACACAGGACCTGGTACAGTTACTTTTATATATGTGGATCCACTGACTAAAATGCAGTATTTACATTGAAAAAACTCTTAAACACCCGCTCACTATATGAAAAGCTAAATGTACTGTATGCACACATAAATACTCACTTTTTCAGCTGTTTGCCTTTCTGTAATCAAAGTCTTGGCATCAAAGTGTCTGTTCACCAGGGTGTCAGTTAATTAAAACTCCAGCGCTCCAATTCTCTTCATGCTGTCTAAGCCCGCTGGGATATTGCTCATTGATTTTATTTTCCCTCCTTCCTTCCTTGTTTCTTTAATTTCCTTTGAGACTCTATCATTGGCTTTTAACACTTCTCTCTGTGCACTAAACAAAGCAAAAACTCTACCATCAAGCTAACATTTTGTTCCTCCTCTCAGTCCGCGGTGTTGCTGGATGTGCCCTCCTTGACTAAGCGTGCCACACCTGCTCAGCTCTTCAGCGCCCCCTGTGGATGTCAGTGCTACTCTTCACTCCCAGGCTGTAGATAAGCCCATACTATTAAATGATCATTAACACTGATCTCTTAGCTTTAGTCTTGAATGATGAAATTCCAGAAAAATGTAAGGATTATAAAACATTATCAAGAAGCACACATGAGGGAAAAGAAACTAATCCACAAATGAACTATAAAAATACAGGAACAGTTTAGTGTGGTGGCCTGGCCTTCTGAATCACTGGCAATGAAAGTAAACCCCAAAACAGCATCAGTAGCAACAATAATGGGAAGAATTTAGAAGTTGTTTGTATTGATAAGACTATAAAAAAAAACTTCCAAAGAGTTTTTTCTTCACTTGTATTATACAAGACGTGTCTGGAAAGTGGGACAGTAAATCTGCAAGTCTCTGGCAAAGAACCCAATAAATAAATTTAAAACAGATTCCATGTTTAAGCAAGTCAGATGCACGTCAGTGCAAGCCTCTTGATGTTTTAGAGAACAAGCAACAACCTTGTAGTCAGTTAGTATTGATCACAGCACTTTACAGCAGCCTGTGAGTAGCACTAGCTTTCCACAATTCTGTTCTGGTGAAGAAAATACAAAATAGCATATGATTTTTGAGTAATCTTTTAAGAACAAACTGTATTTTCTGGTTTCTTTACTCCTCTGACAGCAAACTGAATACCTTTACAAGACATTTGAGGAAGTCTTCTTGGGCTCTGGGAAACACTGATCAACATTTTATAGACCAAACAACTAATCAAGAAAATAAACGACAGATTGACCACAATGAAAATTGTGTCCATCGTTTGTTGCAGCCTTACACAATAGTGACTGAAACCTGCCCTTTGACCCCTCCACAGCCCTCCATACTGACCTCCAATTGCTATGGAAACACTGTGCCTCCCTCACTGTCCTGCCTGGACACTGCGAAAAACAGAGGGGGGAGGTGGAAGACCAGGAGGAGGCGAGAGAGGAGTCAGAGCAGGACAGAGAAATACTGAGGACAGAGAGAAAGAGGACGCACTCAGGCATGAGGGAGGTGGGTCTGTGCAGAGGCACATTTAGTTTCTTCTCCTGTTACCTTGAAATGACCCAAAGTCAAATATCTGTGGGGAGGAAAATGATAAAAATTCTCAATAAGCTCCAGTTCCAGGTCATGCTAAAATCTGAGAGGGGGTTTGTGAAACTGTGGCTGTAATAATAAAGGTTATCTGTTAGCCAGCGAGGCTGCAGTCGCAGACTGCCAACTGAGTGTTCAGTTCAGTGGTGAGACAAATTAGATTATGAACCTAGTTTCTGTATCATGGAACTTTCATGCCTCTCTCTCTCTCTCTCTCTCCCCTCTCTCTCCCCTCTCTCTCTCTCTCTCTCCCCTCTCTCTCTCTCTCCCTCTCTCTCTCTCTCTCTCTCTCTCTCTCTCTCTCTCTCTCTCTCTCTCTCTCTCTCTCTCTCTCTCTCTCTCTCACAGATATCCAGTGAGTCAGGACTGCCCCCCACAGAGGGCTCATGTAAGAATTTGTCCTCTCTTTCTCAGACACATTAGAAACATTTTTCAGATCATGTTGTGGCAGCAAAATAAAAACATGATTCACTCAAAGCTGCCAGCTACTCATTGTGTTTGTTCATGTCTCTGTAAACAGCTGCATTAGATGTGATCCTGGACATGTCCAAAGAGGACAAATCTGTAAGCGATGTGATCACTCCTGTCAGCAGATGGTGAGTCTCAGATGGACAGACAGACGGACAACAAGATGGATAAAGAAATTGATCTGTGTGTGTGTTTGTGTGTGTGAAGGTCTCCGCAGGAGGAGGCCCAGCCACTGATGGAGCGTATAGTGGAGGAGAACATCGAGATGCCCGAGGCTCAGACGGACGCAGAGAGCAGTGACATGCTGAGGTACATCATGCAATACACACAACACACGCAAGCTCTCCATGTTTCTACTAGACTCCAGCTCGCTCATGAAACAGCGTTTCACTGCTGGTTTGTTACTATCCTGACTCCAGAGTGGGATTTGTTGCCTCCATATTCATGCTGCCTCCAGTTCCACTTTTCTGCACTGGCACTCCCTCGTCCCAGGCTTGTTGCCTGAATCATCCTGAGGTGATGAGTGTTTTGTGACATGGCACGTTACGCTGTGTCTGGATTTTTGGATAAATATGGCTATGAAGGGTAAACCAGAGCCTTTATTTAAGCACAGCAATGACGCTCACCCATTTTCAGTGGTCATGTGGCCATACTTTCTTCTTCTGCTGCTGCATCTCTTTCTGATGTCGACAGGTTGTAGTTTCAGTGATGCCCTTCTGTTGTACTGAGCTCTCATTCGCATATTTTTGACTATTACTTTGCTTGATCAGAACACGTGTCAGTTATATACACTGTATATCAAGTCTGTGACCATACACTTTCTAATGTTAACTCAAACACCGCCTGAGACAACCCTGTCAACCATCAAGATGCAGCCACGTTGTTTATGTCTTCCTGTCCTCCAGTGTCACATCCTATGTTATTTGATATCTGCTTTGAAATTCAAAATAGAAAGCAACCAGTAGGCCTGAGGGATCAACCTAAGCCACAGACACAGAGGAAGAGGGAGAGGAAGTGATTCTGCAGGAAGATTTTTGATGTTTGAATTCAACCTTCAAACAAATACACCCCTTAGTGCTCCCTCAGAAGCTCCGCCCCCCCCACATTTCAAATCTCCGAGATTCTTACGACGTTGAAACATCTTCACCTTTGCCTGGTCATATAACTTTCGTCTCTGTTTATACTCTTCAGACTTTTTCTTCTTTGGCTGTTTCTCGGCTATCTCTCCTTCTTCACGGTCCCTGGAGTTGTGTATAGAACTCTCTCTCCTGCTGCCCCCCTCCCCTCCTCACACCACCTGTTGCTGATTGGCCAGGACAATGTTGTGGGGAAGGTCCACACCAGTTTTTCCACACAAAATGGAGAGCTAGCAACCCATGAGGAACTAGCTGAATTTAACAAAAAGGTGTATTGGATTAGAATCGCTTACTATTCCTTTAAATGTGTTACCAGGTTCAGACATTGAATTATTGTATTGAAAGTATCATATAACATATCAGCCAGTCAGTAGCAGTAAGTTAGATATGAAGTGGTTTCTTTGATTGAATGCGGTATGTGTTGTATAAATAAGGGGGAGCCCTTAAGTTTGCGTTTTATGTGACATTGTGACTGGATTCATGTTTGAACAGGAGTTCATAGCAGCAGTATTAGTGGCTCTATAAATACTGGTTTCACTGAGATGTTTTAGTGTCGTTCAGTCTGCAAACTTCCTGCTCCATCATCACTGAAATTCAGGGGAAAAAGTAAGAATAAATGGTCCATTTCTTGGCCTGAAAACAGCCATATTTTGTAATTATGTCCTCTAGGTTGAACCCCCTCATGTACTGCTCACACTTCGCTTGTCTCTTCCAGCTGGATCTCCTCCAAACTGCAGAGGTCTGGAGAAGTCACCTTTGACTCTCTGGTACCCCCAGAGGCTGACCGCACCACTGCAGCTCACACACTCTACAAAGTGCTGGGTGAGGAGATCTGAAGCTGATGTTTCTTAACAATGAACACATGATGCTCATGTTCCACCATGGACTAGCACTGGTAACCTTTCATTCAGATAGACAGAGATCTCAGGAATAAAGCAGACAAGTGTTAACATAACTGAGACATAGTAGTTTTCGGTCTGAGTTTTAATTCAGTCGGTGAAACATTGTGACGGTATCAACTGTGATGTTGCTCTTCTCCAGAGCTGCTGTCTGCTGGCCAGGTGACGGTCCAACAGACTGAACCGTACAGTGACATCACCATCAGCCCTGCAGCACTGCCTGATCACTGACTCACACTACAGTCCTGGACAAGTAATTCATGATACCTGTTTTTCATTGATGAATATAATGAATTAATTTGATCCTGTGTAACACATGAAACACATCAAATCTCACACTCATGATATCTTACATTGTAAAAAAAAAAAAAAAAAAAGTTTTATATAATTGTTAAATGACTCAGAAGGGTGAAACATTGAACTACATTACTTTGCAGTATTTTAACGTTTTTAAACTATTTTAACCTGGTTCTGTTCATGTGGTTGTATTTTTAAATATTTATACACTGATATATAGTTTATCAGTGTTACATAATTTAATTTCATATACAGTTTTAAACATCTGGACCTAGTAAGTGTTATATTTTCTGTATGGCTTTTTAACCTTTGTAATGATTTTAAATTAAGCTTCTTGTATAGTTTGTATCTGCTTTGGGAATTGTTATCCCTTTTAATTCTTCTAATTTAAAATAAAATGTGTTATTCTCAGTAGAACAACATCTCAAATTATTCTTCCGAACTCTAAACCAATTCAATGTGAGAACATTACTTAGGTTTATCATTTTCTGTTCTTGCTTCACACTGAGCCCAGTCAGAATCCTAAACGAGCGCTAGTTAAAACCCAATAAAGAATTCATCACAGGATAATAACACTTAATGTGAAGCTAGAAGTTTGTTGTTCTGGACTGAGAGAAAAAAAATCTGTTTATTTTAAATATTTTGATGCGAGCTTTTAGTGCAGAGAAATGTACAGAAAACATGTATCAGCACTCGCCTGCCTCCAACAGGAACGTTTTGTGCCTCGCTGGCAGATAACTCCTGTCTGACCTCATGCCTCAGTAGCTCCACACAATTAAAGGGTTTGCTCAGTAAACACACTGGGGACTGCTGTGTGTGTGTGTGTGTGTGTGTACACATAAGAGTAAGACCATGTGCCACCTCGCTGTGACTGAGAGGCCTGGGCTGAGGTCAGTGCTGCAGTCACAGAACAGAAATCCTCATTCACATCAACATAGCAGAATGATCATTTTGTTGATGCTCCTTGTGATACCTTCAGGTCGCTGTGCCAGCAGAAGTCCTTTCCACTGACACGTAATGTTTTTTATAGAAACGGCATCAAAAACAGATCCCCCCCCTCGTTCCCCACCTATTACCTCCTTCATAGAGGTACAAACCCTCACTGTTTAGGGCTAAATGCCTTGCTCATAAGCAGCTTGATGGTGAGTCGCCACTGGCACAAACAGAGCTCACAGTGGGCTTCTTGTTTTAGCCACCACCTCCACTACTGCTGCATCACTGGCACTGCAGGACCAACCGTAGGTGCGACTTCAGTGTGTTTACAGGCTTCACTGCAGGGAAAGCATGAACACAGGCTGATTAGTGAGGCCAAAAAAAAAAAAGATTACTTGTGTTAATGGCACTGAACATAACGCAGGCGGCAAAATGAAAATAGAGGTATATACAGGTTTGAGAACTACGACCAGTCAATATCAGTAAGCATATTTAATTTAAAGCAACACAAATCTTAGCAACTTGCAATAACTGATTTTCTTTTGGCTTATACAGTTGTTGGGGCGAACTTGTCACATGCAGCAGATATGAAGCAATATTAAAGTTCCACCTGGCCACTAAGTATCTGTAGATCTTGTTTCTGGTGGAAATATCTGAAAACACTGTGAGAGTGAATCAAAACAGCAAAGTTCTGGTTCTGGGCTGAACATCAAAACAGTGAGCTGGAAAACTGCTGTGAAACTGAGGGAAACCTATTCTCTGTGGGTTCATCAAAAAGTAGCAGTCTTTTTTTTTTTTAAATGATGACATCATAGCTGCTTGAATGAGCAGAAAACCCAACTTGTGCTCACACAGTCGACCTCCCTTTGGCTCTATACATTCCCAAGCATTTACATCATTTGTGTCCCTCTGCACGCTGACGTATGGCTGGTATCTGTGTGCGAGGATTTCATTTACTGTGGCCATCCGTGGAATGTGACATGCTGAATCCAGAGTGCTGGCTTGGTGTGGGGGGAAAAAAATGATCCCACTGTACAGAACAACACCCGCATACGCGCTCCACAGCGTGGGACGGCATGTGTCCTCTTGTGATCTAGAGCAAGAACACTTTTTTTATGATCTGATAATGTGACGCTGTGTTGTGAACGATATATCAACCCCCTGTTCACCTAAACTGCCAGAGAAGTGAGAGAAAAAAATGAGTGGAGTTGTAGATCTCCACAGACAAATCTGTTGTCCACACTCACCCTGAAGTGACCTCTTACCACCAAATTATACCAAATAAAACCAAATTTATACATTTCAAATACATGTATCAATCTTGTCATAAAGCATTCAGTCCCAATTATTTCTTGACAGACTGAAAGTACTTCAGGCCACATCCTTCCTTCATTTAAAGTCAAAAGAAGAATCCACACACACACCTGGCACCACCATCCATCCAACCATCCATCCATCACCCCCCTGACAGTCTAATAAACCTAACATCTGAGTGACACATAACACACATTCACAACGGCTGCTTATATTAGCCGGGACGGCAGAGCACAAGCCAGTTTGCATTTGATACACACACTTTCTAGAGGCCTTCATCATAAGAAGCTCTGAATCACCAGCCCTGAGGAGGAACAGGGCGGACCAGCCGGTATCCGCTAACAACACCGGCTGTGAGTAAAGAGCCGCCCAAGACAAGAAGGTGCAGATACCGAGCATCAGGCGGAGATAAAGCAAAGGTCATCCAAGTAAGGGTGAGGGACACTTCACATCAGTTTCTGAGATCCGCATCTGAAAAGTCAAGCTGGCAGCAGACGAGTCACAAAGCTTGCAGGAGGAGGGGGAGGCCAACGGAGGACCGGGCGGCCCGGCAGACGGCATGACAGTGCGTGTTGAGCTGGAGTGGGAGATCCCCATGTCAGTGACGCTGCCCATCCAGACGCAGCCCGACCCGGCGCACCAACCGTTCCCCTTCCTGGACACGACGCTTGCCGACCTGGGCATCCAAGAGTGAGTCTGCTCTCAGCGTGATGGCGTCTTAGCAAAAGCACTGTCATGTAGATCCATTAACAAGTATGTGTGCGTATGTGTGTCCAGGTCAGAGGTGAAGGAGAGGGTGGTGTGGGTCGACACCAAGAAGACCCAGGTTAAGAACAAAGCGGGGAAGCTGAAGGAGAAAGAGATCAACATTCTGGAGGTATGACTTTGAGATGACAGGGAGTAAAGCTTCTAAATCCATTTTGAGCTGCTTTTGCTCCAAATGTAAGCAAACAAAAAGGATGTCTGAAGCGGGGAGGTGAGCGGGAGGAAAATGACAACAATTGTGTTTCCTCTTGTAGGTGAGAGTGAAAGCTCAGAAACCTGGAGACAAACAGCTCCAGGAAGTCCTGTACAGCACGGAGGCCCACACTGACCGCTCCTTCTGTCGCACAGGGATGAATATCCTGCCCTGGAAACACAGACAGGCAGGTCTGGAAGTTTTTTTTTTTTTTTTAATTTAACTTACAATTTGTTGCTGTTAGTATCAGTGTCTCTAAATTCTGATGCCTGATGAGGCTATTAGTGGTATAAAAACAGGCTAACTGCAGAAATAGACTTAATAATAATAATCATAGACCTGACTGTATCTTCTCAGTTGTGTTGTGTGTACACCTTCATAGTGTTGCTGCGACACATGTGGTATTTGCCCCTCTGCTCATTAGCACATTCTTATATATCTATGTAGTTTTAAAGTTAGGCCTCTCTGTCTGGCAGGGGAGAACGGACTGACACCGGTGCAGATGACGATGGAGTTGGAAAAACAGCAGCAGCCTGGCTTAACCGAGGCACGGGGACAACGGGAGATCTGAGGAGCAGTCAGACGCTCCCCATCACTCGTCCACGGCAAAGCACATCTTTAGCTCCGTTTCACTCTCGCATCTATATAGAGGATTCAACACGTCATCACTTACTCTTTCCACAGTGAGGCGTGGTTGAATGGCTTGACATTAACTGAAGGGCGAAACATGCCAGCATTGTCGTATCATGTTACAGAAAAGCACAGAAAGAGGCGGAGCGGTTCAGGTCAAAGTTCTTCTGCATACAAGCGCAGGCTGCTGTGAGCACTAACAGTGTACGGACGCTATAATAAGTGCTGTTTTATTCCGTATGGCCTATTAGCTCAGTATTTAGTCCGTTAGCTCTGGAGGTTATTACTGCTGTCCACACAATGCACAGCTGCAGTGTGGGCCCATTAGAGAAACCCCCTTTGTTAGCAGCAGATAAATCTCTGAGTAAGGCAGTGCCAGAAGAGAGCGCATGGGGATCAGAAATTCACAGTCCACTGACTTACACTGGGAGATGGGAATGAAAAGTTTATCAGGAGATGCAATTCATTGCTTCACACTCAAGATAGCAAAGCCAGAAGTCAAACAGTGGCAAAAAGGGGACAGCAGCAATCAACAATAGCACTTTACAGGAATAACAGGGAAACAAAATACAATGGTAATAACACAGGATGGTGAACTGTAACTCTTAAAATAATAAAACTTAGACAACATAGCATGCATATAAGCAAATAAATTAAAAGTTAATACTCATAAGTATAACTGCTGAATGTGACATAACTATATTAGAATGGCTGAAGTGCTGTTTTTAGATGGGGAAATATCTCCAATAACATTTTCCGCCTACAGTATAAAGATTCATTGTTTTTGCTGGCTTTCTCACACGAGTGGAAGGATGTGTGCAGGCTATGAGGCGGAGATGGCCGAACTAAGTTTGGCCTGCTGTTCTCCGGGAAGCGAGGTCACAGCTGCTTGGAAGTCGGCAGAGTGGTGCTGGGCGAATGCTTTCATCAGCATGACCAAAGTGCCCTGGGTGTCTGTGGGAGGGAGCGGTGAGACGAGAGTTTAGGGATGACAGAAAAACAAAGATTGATTACTAAAACAGCAACAGAATGCTGATGAGAGTGCAGGGAGTGACTGAGCATGCTCAGGGAGGGGAGAAGAGTGTGTGAGAGTGTTTTGACTTTGTTTTTCAACAACTTTAGAAGCACAAATCTTCACCTTTATCAATGTTTTTGCTGCCAAGGACACAACTGGAAGCAGCAACTATGGGCTTCATTACCTTCACAACCTGAAAGGAAAAAAATAGAAGAATATGGTAATAATGTTGAATATTGTGTCCTCAAATGTTTAGGTTTGTGCATCTTGTTGTCATGTATGTCTTCATTAAATAGTTTGTGTGATAGTTGAAATATGCTGTATGCATGCATAACGTGTTGTAGTTTCAATGTATAAAACACAACAAAGTGTAATAAAACACGACTGAAAGGCTGGCCTGGTAGTTGTCCATACAAAGCACACAATGGGGCCATTCTTAACATTTGAACGCCTGCTCTAGGATGAGTAATGTAGATTTCTCTCTCACTTCCTGCTTGTGTCTGTCACTATTGTCTTTGTTTTCCTAAGGAATTCTCAACGTCATGACACCACCCCCCTCAGGCATGAGAAGAAGCACTGAACGATGGACTGTAACAAATGAATGTCACCATGAACACGCCTGTCACGAGAACTACTTTGTTGGACGCTATATTGTCCTAGAAATAATTGGGATTAAAGATATTACTGCCATTTTAAGACCATTTCGTGCCACTGATATAATGATCATTTGAAGAGCCATTAACGGTGAAACTCCAACACAGAGAGCAGATGACGAGGACAGAAGCAGTGCAGCCAGAAGTGACAGCAGAATGTGTCTAAGCATAGTTTTATTCTGTTTATTTTGATTATGCGCTGTGCCTCAAGTCTTACAATGGTGGGGAAAACCCTAGTGTTTATTCTGACATGATGTTGGCTAAAATGTTCTTATGTAAACACAAAAGGCAATATCGAGGTCATGTTCATATGTTGTACGGGAAGCTGATAACGTAATTATCGTGACAAGCCTAACCATGACTTGGCCTGAATATCACATTTAATGCAGCTTTCCAATAATGTTCTTTCTACACAGTAGCAGCAGTTGTGATGGTATCTGTACTGTACCAGAGCAGGACTGTGTGTGTAGAGCATGGCCAGGCAGCTGTACACCGTCTTGTTCTCCTCCAGATCCTCTTTGAGGGGAAGATGAGCCACCAGAGCGGGAACGACCTGTTATACAGCACAGTGCGATTCATAGTGAGCAAATTCTGTTCTTACGTTTTTTAGTGAAGTACTTTGCAGTGAATTTCCTGCTTGTGAAAATGTGTTGTCCGCAGTAAAGATTACTCGAGGTGGCTAGTCTTGGCAGAAGAGGTGCAAACTGCAAATATACCTGCTCCAGGGGGACGGCCTCCACATTGCTCATCATCATCCTGCAGAGGGCAGCACACAGGTTGTCAATCACCCTGAGGTCCGACTCTTTGGACAGCATGTTGGAAAACACGGACAGCATCATGGGATAATCTCTGGAAGACGCTTCACTAAGGAACAGCTGTGTGTGATCTGTAAGTTTTTAGATGATGCATTAAAACACAACACACCTCCACACACCTCCACACACCTCCACACACCTCCACACACCTCCACACACCTCCACACACCTCCACACACCTCCACACACACAGGATAAGGATACGTTACGACGATGGGTCCAGCTGCCTGGGCCAGACATCCCAGTCCGTACACGCTGTTGTTGCGAACCTCGGGATCACTGTCCCTCACTCCAGCCACCAGCACGGGAAGCAGACGGTTGGACAGTCGGCCTGCCACTCCCCGACCCCCGGGCACGCTCACCAGGGCCTGCAGGACTTCTCCAATTGTACCCACAGAGAAGGACCGGTCTGCCACCGTGCACGAGGATTTCTTTTGAGGGGGAAAGAAAATGTGATAGGGTGATACTCGACAGGGACACATTTAACACCCTTTCACCTTTTCCAGGAACCAAAAGCCATTTTTTGTATTTAATCAACGAACCAATCTTGAAGTCAAATTTTGCTCTCTGAAAATGAGTCTGTAGTTGCAAAGAGTTTACAGCAATTCTCTCCTTGCTGCATTTAGTAAGAAATCAGCAGTTACATTGTCTCTATAAGACAGGACTGGGAACATCCTTAAGTCTGGACTCACAGCTTTGCTCATGATGAGGGGCAGTAGGTCATTGAGGAATGGGGCGAAGTTGTCTGCAGGCACAGACGAGGCCAGCAGGGGAATCCCCTCCCCGGCAAACTCCTGGAGCATGGCGTCGTACTCCGCCTGAACCAGACAGCACAATGAGGACAAGGAAAGTGATGTGGATGTAGAAATGTGGAAATAATGGGTAAAAAAAAATGCAGCCTCTGATTCAATATCTAGAATACTTTGAATGTAAACTGCATGGAGTTGGTGGAGGTTTGTATTTTTGACAGCTTCCGTGTAATGTGAGGGAAAACACTTTAACGTGGTGACACAGAACTGATAACTTATATATGCAGATGACAGATGTGCAGCGAGTGGACAGCCAACCTGTTGCTCTTCATCATCTGCTTCATCACCACCGCTGTCCTGACAAACAGTCTGAACCGACAGAGAGAAAAACAATGGTGAAGTGTTACTGGGATCATTTCCACCTGGGAAATAAGATTTATGTGAAATTATTTAATTGAGCGAAGCTTTAGCGAAATAAGCCATCTTCCCATCGCTCACACCTTTTTCTTGAGCACATCACGGATGACGTGGCTGAGCTCCTTAAGGCGTGAAGGGTTTTTGAAAACTTCCTCCTTGCAGGACTTGATGACATTGTTCATGGTTTCCAGGACGCCCATCACGACCTGGCGCTCATTCTCTGTTCGCACCGTTTCCACAAAGCAGGGAAGCACCACATCCAGCAACTTCTGTAGGGCTGGGGGAGGGACATGGGATGTACAGGCATGAGGAGGAATATAGTTCAAATTAGTTAAAAGGCAATTGTCAAACCACCTGTTTGACACAGTGGTCAAAAAAAAAGGTAGCTGTTTGTAATGGTTTTCAATTTGTTTTTTTTCTTTTTTAATTAACTCCCACTGTAGCAGAAAGCAGCACTGCCTCTTTCTGTATTTCCTTAAAGTAACAGTAATGGAGAATTTCTGAGCAGAGAGGCGTTACCCTGGTGGTTGGCCTCAGTGGGATTCTCCTTCCACACATGGTGCTGAGCTCGACAAAACTGGCCCATGGCTCCAAATGCTGCCCTGCGGACATCCTCGTGAGGAAACTAGGGAAGGAGGGGAGAAAAAAAAAAAAAAAAAAGGAAAGCATCAATTTACAATGTGCAGTGTTGCGTGGACACATGGGTAGTGTTGACAGCTTAATGGGGTCATGAGGACAGAGACCAAGTACGTGCCCTTCAGACACCAATTCCCTTAGGTCAATGGAACTAATCTACAGTTGACCCGTTCCTGAACAAACAAGGTCTGCCTGCTGGAAAAGTGAGGGCAAATAACCATCATTAGCCCCCACAGAATATTTGTCTTCTGCATTTTACTGAAGAGCAGTTGTTGTTTTCGCTGTTATTTATTAGCTACAATTTACAGAGGGTAAAATCAATCAAATCAAATGGTCTTGCCAAATCAAGGAAAATGGGGAAAAAAATGAATCTACCAACAGACACTTCCATTTATAAACAGACACAACCCCGCAGAGACACAGCGTATGCACAAACAAAGCACATAAGACAGAGAGGGACAACTGAGCTAACCAGTCGGCCACACTGACTTACGTCTCTCATCTCGTAAACCTGCTGGAAGCTGGACTCCAGGAAAGGCTGGAAGGCAGCGCTGTCAGGGGAAACCATAGCAACACAAGTTAAAATGTATGCACACACGAAAGGTCTGACATAATGTTAACGCTGCAGTCTGTTATCGGTCAGTCATCTAACAAAAATAGACAATAGAAACAAAAACTATTCATGATTGCAGTTTAGCACATGATACACATATTACTCTAATGGCAGACGGTTGTGTTACCCAGTGCTGAAGGCAATCTCTCCCAGTGCATCACAGGCATCCTCCTTCTCATCAATGTAGGCGTTTTCCACACTGAAACTGAGAGGTGGACAGACGTAGCATCAGGCGGGCCGAGGGTAGTCTTTTAAACATACATGCATGCGTACGTACGTGACGTGTGTGTGACCCGCACCCTGCAACATCATGGACATCTGTCTCGGCCTCATC